TGCTGCCTGGCCTGCTGTGTTCCTCCAGCTCCACACCTTGTTATCTCAGACTCCAGCATCGGCAGTTCTTACAATCTTTTGAGCTACTAATGGGGACTATTTGTGGTTGACAGTGGGTTGTGTGTAATAGCAGACCATTACCAATTGTTTAGGAGCAAATTACTGCAGACGTACTGAATCTGTACTGAAAACAACAAATGCTGGAGATCGCAATGGGCCAGGCAGCATCCATGGAGAGAGAGAACAAGCTAACATTTCGAGTCTGGATGACTCTTCATCAGAGTTGAAGTGAAGTGTGGAAGGCGCAGCATTTATGCTGTAGATGGGGGTGGTTGGTTGGACTGCTAGGGGTGAAAGGATGTTGATAGCTCAGATTAAGTTACAACTGATTGGACTTAATATTGAGTTCAACATCTTCACATTGTGAATCGACTCCCATGCTTTCCCTTTCTTTTCGCTTTACTTGTTACATTCCCTGTCATCATGACCTCTCTCCCCTTTCCCCCAACCCCAGTGGGCCTGTCTGTTCTTTCAAGTCTGGCAGTTAGACACACCATTGTTCTGCTGTTTTCATGTGGATGCTGCCTGACCCGTTGTGATCTCCAGCATTTGTTGTTTTCAGTCCACCTATTGTTTACTCCTTACCTCTATCTTCTGCGCAAAAACCAACATTTTCCACGCTACCATCAGTTCTGAGGAAAGGTCACTGGATCTGAAGCGTTAACTCTGATTTCTCTCCTCAGATGCTGCCAGACCTGCTGAGTTTTTCCAGCACAATGGTAATGTGGGCTCGAAGGATAATGATGGCAGCACGCAGAGTATGAGTTGGTATTCCCTAGAGCATAGGAACTCTAAAAGTGATTTAATGGTATTTCAAATGACCAAAACAGCTGCTGAGGTAGGTAGGGAGGTTGATTCATCCCATGGGAGTCCAGAACAGTGGGGTGTACAACCTTTACAGGGGTACTGTTAGAAACCAGTGTCCTTCAAGGAATGCTTTCTCCAAAAAGCTGTTGAATGTTATCACTTGAAAATTTGAAGGATTCCTGTTAGATATGCATGTTATAGTATCTGGAAGCAAGATGAATAAATAGGTCGTTTTGGTCATGTAATGTGCCTTAAAGACCATCGCCTACTGGCTCTGACCTCTATATAATTATTAAGTGCTTTGAGAGGCTGGTCATGGCCCACATCACCTGTAGTCTCCCAGTCTGCCTTGATCCCCTACAATTCGCTTACCAATGTAACAGATTCACAGCAGACACCACTTCCTTAGCCCTGCACTCATCCCTGGAACATCTGGATAACAAGGACTCCTACATCAGACTCCTAAAAATCAACTACAGCTCCGCCTTCAACACCATTATTCTCTCCAGACTGATCTCAAGACTCAGAGACCTTGGTCTCGGCTCTGCCCTATGCACCTGCATCCTCAGCTTTCTGACCCACAGGCTGTAATCAGTGAAGATGGATAACTGCACCTCCTCCTCGATAACGCTCAATACTGGAGCCCCCCAAGATGCGTCCTCTGTCCCTTACTGTACTCCCTGAACACCATGACTGTGTTGCCAAATTCTGATGCAAGTTTGCTGACTACATCACTGTGGTAGGATGAATATCTAACATCAACAAGTCAGACTACAGAAGAGAGAGGGAGGGCTTGGAGACATGGTACAATGAACATCCTCTCTCTCAATGTCGGCAAAGCTAAAGAGCTGATCATTCTCTTAAGAAAAAAAGAGAACACTCCCTCATCTATATCAACAGAGCTGAGGTCGAGAGGATGGAGAGCGTCAAGTTCCTAGGAGTGACGATAACTGACAAACTGTCTGGACATCCCGCATAGATGCAACAGTCAAGAAGGCACAACAATGCCGCCTCTTCCTCAGGCGGCTCAGGAAATTTGGCATGTTCGTAAGGACCCTCGCCAACTTCTACAGATGCACCACTGAAAGCGTACTGTCCGGCTGCATAATGGTGTGGTATGGCAGCTACTCTGCTCAGGACTGTAAGAAACTACTGAAGGTTGTTTGCACAGCCCGGACCATCACAAAAGCCAACCTTCCATCCATGGACTCCATTTACACAGCTCGTTGCCACGGAAAGGCTGCCAACATCATCAAAGACCCACTGCACCCTGGTAATGCTCTCCTACAACCTCTTCCATCAGGCAGAAGATACAGAAGCTTGAACACACACCCCTGAAGGTTCAGGAAGAGCTGCTTTCTGGCCGTTATTAGATTGATGAATGGCCTCTCTCTCTCACTTCAAATAATGCAGATTTTGCTAATTTTGATCTTGCCTAGCGCATGCTGTGTGCAGCGTAACCTATATGCCTCTGTTTTAATTTTTTTTTGTGAACAATAAACAAAGCTTTTCACTGTATTTAGATACACGTGACAATAAATAAATCAAATCAAATCAAGTTTTAAGATATAGATCATATTTAAATTGCAGAGGCGGCTTGATGGATTGCATTGTGCTTGTGTTCCTGTTGTGTTAATGTATTCTAGGCTTGTGTTGTACAGCCCATCAGATATGACTTAGCCCACACCTTGACCTAATAAGAAATTATATTTTAACTTGTAATATTAGTTCAAACATCTTTTGTTAAATACATTAATCTGTTCCATTTTCTTTGACTGGAGCTGAATTGATTTAGTTATAATGTCTACTGTCTGATTGCTTACTTTGTTTGAATTTCTGTCCTAGTCAAATGGGTTTTGTGTACAGAAGAAATGCTTACACGTGGTAGGCACAGATCTATAGCAATCGGCTGTGTTTCACAATATTTGTCTTTTCCAATGCAGCGATTGGGGATCCAGAAAAAGGACCCCCGCCAACTGACCCCAGAAGAAATCTCAAAATTTGTTCGTTTGGACATTGATCCATCTACAATTACCTGGCAACGAGGTGAGAGGTATTTAAAAAGCCAGCGTAAAATTTTTGTTTAATCCGGGACGGGCAAAGTAATTGGAGGGAACATAGAGCCGTGGAGATGTACAGCATGGAAACAGACCTTTTGGTCCAACTCGTCCATGCCAACCAGAAATCCTAAACTAATCTAGTCCCATTTGCCAGCATTTGGCCTATATCCTTCTAAACCCTTCCTATTCATGTATCCATCCAGATAACTTTTTCATGTTGTAATTGTACTAGCCTCTCCCACTTCCTCTGGCAGCTCATTCCATACACACACCAACCTCTGCATGAAAACATTGCCCCTTAGGTGCCTTTTAAATCTTTCCCTTCTCACCTTAAACTTATGCCCTCTAGTTTTGGAATCCCCCACCCCAGGGAAAAGACCTTGTCTGTTTACCCTATCATGCCCCTCATGATATTATAAACCTCAGTAAGGTCACCCTTCAGCCTCTGACACTCCAGAGAAAATAGCTCCAGCCTATTCAGCCTCTCCCTATAGCTCAAACCGTATATCCCTGGCCAGCATCCTTGTAAATCTTATTCGGAGCCCTTTCAAGTTTCACAACATCCTTCCTATAGCAGGGAGACCAGAATTTCACGCAGTGTTGGTAGATGCCGCCTTCACTATCCTATTTACTTGTGACTCCACTTTCAAGGAACTATGTACCTGAACCCCAAGGTCTCTGTCCAGCAACACTCCCCAGGACCTTACCATTAAGTGTATAATCCTGCCCTGATTTGCCGTTCCAAAATGCTGCACCTCACATTTATCGAAATTAAATGCCATCTACCACTCCTCGGCCCATCGGATCAAGGTCTAGTTGTACTCTGGGGTAACCTTCTTGGCTGTCCAATTTTGGTGTCATCTGCAAACTTACTAATCAAGGCCTCCTACGTTCCCATCCAAAACATTTATATAAATGACGAAAAGCAGTGGGCCCAGCGCTAATCCTTGTGGTCACAGGCATCTAGTGTGAAAAGCAACCCTCTACCACCACCCTCTGTCTCCTGCCTTCGAGCCAGTTCTGTATCCACGTGGCTAGTTCTCTGTATTCCTTGTGATCTAACCTTGCTAACCAGTCTACCATGAGGAACCTTATCATATACCTTACTGAAGTCCACATAGATCATGTCCACTGCTCTGCCCTCCTGAATCCTCTTCGTTATTTCTTCAAAAATTCAAGTTAGTGAGGCACGATTTCCCACGCACAAACCCATGTTGACCATCCCTAATCAGTCACAGCCTTCCCAAATACATGTAAATCCTGTCCCTCAGGATTCTCGCCACCAACATCAGGCTCGCCAGTCTGTGGTTCCCTGGCTTTTCCTTACCACCTTTCTTAAATAGTGGCACCACGTTAGCCAACCTCCAGTCTTCCGGCACCTTACCTGTGGCTATCGATGATGCAGATATTTGATAGGGGCTCCAGCAATCACTTCGCTAGCTTCCCATAGAGCTCGAAGGTATATCTGATCAGGTCTGGGGATTTATCCATCTTTATGCATTTTAAGCCATCGGGCACCACCATCTCTGTAATATGGACATTTTTCAAGATGTCACTATTTCCCCATGTTCTATATCTTCATATCCTTCTCCACAGTAAACACTGATGCAAAATAATTGTTTAGTATATCCTCATTTCCTGCAGTTCCACACATAGGCAGCCTTGCTGATCCTTAATGTGGCCTGTTCTCTCCCTCGTTACCCTTTTGTCCTTAATGCATTTGTAGAATCCTTTTGGATTATCTTTAGCTTTGGCAAACAGGGTTATCTCATGTCCACTTCTTGCCCTCCTGACTTCCCGCTTAAGTATACTCCTACTGTCTTTGTACTCTTCTAGGGATTCACTTGATCCCTGCTATCTATACCTGACATATGCTTCCTTCTTTTTCTTGACCAGAACCCTAATTTCTGTTGTCATCAGCATTCCCCATACCTACCAGCCTTGCTGTTCACCTTAATAGGAACACACTGCCTTTGAACTCTTGTTATCTCATTTATGAAGGCCTCCCATTTTCCAGCCATCCCTTTACCTGCGAACATCCACCCCCAGTCAACTTTTGAAAGATCTTGCTGTATACTGTAAGAATAGGTCCTTCCTCCAATTTAGAACTTTAACTTTTAGATCCAGTCTATCCTTCTCCATTAGTATTTTAAAACTAAGTGTTATGGTCAATGGCCCCAAAGTGGTCCCCCACTGACACCTTAGTCACCCGTCCTGCCTTATTTCCCAACAGTAGGTCAAGTTTTGCGCCTTCTCTAGTAGGTATATTCACACATTGAATCAGGAAGTTTTCTTAGACACACTTAACAAATTCCTGTCCATCCAAGCCCTTAACACTATGGCAGTCCCAGTCTATGTTTGGAAAGCTAAAATCCCCTTCCATAACCACCTTTTTTTTTTAAATTCACTTGTGGGATGTGGGTGTTGCTGGCTGGCCATTTATTGCCCATCCCTAGTTGCCCTTGAGAAGATGGTGGTGAGCAGCCTCCTTCAGCCGCTGCAGTCCACGTACTGTGGTTGACCCACAATGTCATTAGGGAGGGAATTCCAGGATTTTGACCGAGCAACAGTCAAAGAACGGTGTGTTATTTCAAAGTCAGGATGGTGAGTGGTTTGGAGGGGAACTTGAAGGTGTTGGTGTTTCGATATATCTGCTGCCCTTGTCCTTCATGATGGGTTTGCAAGGTGCTTTCTGTGGATCTTTGAATTTCTGCAGTGCATCTTGCAGATAATACACCCTGCTGCTACTGAGCATCAGTGGTAGAGGGAGTGGATGCTTGTGCCAGTTCAGTGGGCAGCTTTGTCCCTGATAGTGTCAAGCTTCTTGAGTGTTGTTGTTCTCCCAGATAACTGAGATCTCCTTGCAAATTTGCTTCTCCGTTTCCTGCTGACTATTTGGGGGTCTACAGAATTATCACATCGTGTGAAATTATTTACTAGTTTTAAAATCAAAGAATCTGTCAGGTCGGTGATTGGAAATGCTGAGTAACTATTATTCCAATATATCTCGGCCTTCGACTGTATGAATGGGAGTAAAATCCTGCAATTAGACAATGAAATTTTCCAAACTATTTGACGGGTGCTGCAGTGGAATCACTACTCAAACATAGGAAATGTGACAGCCAATTTGTACAGAGATAGGTCCTACAACCAGCAATTTGCCAATGATTAGATCACGTACTTAGTGATGCTGGCAGAGGAATAAGTACTTGCTATGACCTGGAAAGAACACCACTTCCTCAAACAAGTGTCATGGGACATTTATCTGAGACAGCAGTCGTGTACTGTACTGTACACTGCCCAGCTTGATCATCTCTTGGGTGGCCTTACTTCTCTCTTTCCACCCCTCCGACCCCTTCCCCCTCTCTTTCCCCCCCCCCCCCCCGATCTCTTCCCCCTCGTGCACTGTCTTATGTGCTCTTGCTCCACTTCCCTTGGTCCCTTTCTCCCATCAGCCCCACTCTAAGTCCTCTCTTCCCGCCACCCACTTGCCCTCCCTCTCACTTAGCTGCATACCTGCCCCCCTTGTTCCGCCCTCCCATCCTTACCTGTCCCCCAGCCATTCGCTCAGCCCCACTCACCACCAATTCGCCCCCGCCAAGTTAGTTCGCTCGCTCTCCCAGCCCTGTTTGCTTGCCGCTTGCCCCTTGCCCTCCCCACCTCTGCTCGTGCACTTGACGTTTTCCCTCAACCCACACTTTCATTCAAACCTATTGCACTCACTCTTTACCTGGTTCTGTTACCTTAAGTTATTTTTATAATTTACATTTTCTTTCAGTGCTTGATACAAATGATCGTTTCTTGCGGAAAATGACAATAGGGCAGTCGAGTACGGAGAAAGGATTTGCTCGTGAGGTATGAGCCTTTTTTTTGCACACCATTAAGTAAAATCATGAGGCGCTACACTAACTTTGAGTTGTGAAACTTAAAATATCTTTGTATTTGCTGGAAACATTGGATAATTAGGGCAGTGGATGGTATGAGCTGGTAAGGCTGTGAGACATCCAGCTGGCACCATTTCAGCTGCTTCTGACACTCTCGGGTTGCCCATGCAAATGCCCTGACCAAGGTTATATACCAGGTGGACTTTCTCCAATTATGTACCTGATCCAAACTTCAGGCTCTGAAGTCTACCCACTCTGAATCCTGTTGGTAAAAGGCCATCTTCACTGGCTGAGCGTCCACTGATGTTATCCAGTTCTCTGCCATGCAGCTGCACCTAAAGTTGAGCTGGCTGTCATTTACTGCTGTGCACTATCAGAGTTGGCAAGAACAGGAACACTGCAAGATAGTCAGTGATTATTTGTGTTTTTATAAAACTTTTGATAAAATGTGTTATTTCAGGCACACAAAAAAAATTAAAATCATTCCTGGGCATAGACTATGTACAAAGTGCAGTCAATGGGATTAATGTACTTTGTTGTTTGTTGGTTGGCATAGATATTGTAGGCTGAAGGACCTGTTTCCATGCTATATGACTATCTGAGTAAGGATTGGCAGAATTCCTAACAATCTGCACAATTTGCAACGAATGCTGCCACCAACTGGTCACAAATTAAATTTTTATTAGGATGTTACAGAGCAGTGGGTGGAAAAAGAAAGCCCAACATCAGGGTAAAATTTGCACATCTGTGGAGAGAGAGGAATGTGAGTTGGAATAATTGGACAATTCTTTCAAGGAGCTGGCATGGGCATTATGGTCCAAATGGTCTCCTGCACTGCAAAATGCTGTGATATGGTTTCAATCCAGCTGCCCCATGGACACGATTATGGCAGGTTTATTATACAAGTAGATCAAGAAAAACTGTTGCCATTAGCTCCTTGCACAGAGGTAAGGGACACTGATTTAATGCTTTGACCAAGAAATGCCGGGATTGGGGGATTAAGTGATATCAAAAGGAAATGGGGTGGTTGCTTGAGGATAAAGTGTCAGGACAGTGGGTATAAAGCAGGAATTCAAAGCTAATGTTTGTTCATAGCTTATTTCACAGTCTCTTCTATTTGGAGTACAGAACTGGTTTAGGTGCAAAGTGGATATCTGATCCAAGCTTTCCTCATGACATGGACAGTGATTAGATTAAATGGATCTCTTCATGGTGCTGTAACTGAATGAAGATCAGACAACACATGGATAAATGAGGGCAGCCAATCTGATTGGGGAATGGCTTTCACTGTCCTCAAATCAAGAGTCGCTGCAGCACAGGAATCATTTGGTCTATTATGTCTACACTGACTGTCTGTAGACCATTATTAGTGTATTTTCGATTAGTGTATGTATTATTATTCCCATGAATCCCTGCTTTATACCCACTGTCCTGCTACTTTATTTCCCTCAAGCAACCAATTTCCTTTTGATATCGCTTAACCCCCCTGCATTTCTTGGTCAAAGCATTAAATCCGTGTCCCTTACCTCTTTGTACAATAAGCAAATGGCAACAGCTTTTCTTGGTCTACTTGCATAAATCTGCCATAATCTTGTATCCCCTTTATAAAACTTTCCCTTGATCTCCTTGTGTTGCAGCTTTGACAACACTAAACAAATTGTAGTTCATAGTTTTTTTTGTCTGTGTACGTTTCCTCTGTGATCTGATATTAGGTGATAATAGAGTCATGGGGGTAAATGAAGTTAAATTACTGATCAAGCATGATCTAATTGAATCATGGATTAGGACATGCCCCAGAGGGAAGATATCCCTCTGGGGCAGGTGGGACTTGAGCCTGGACCTTTTGGCTCAGAGGTAGGGCACCACTGCAACATTAAAGAGGTTGTATTAGAGCAATTTACAGTTTGGGACTTTATCCTGGTAATATAAATACAAAACGAAATGAGGACTGAATATGTGGCTTTAGACTCAGTGAGTTGTTCCCTGACTACACCGTCTTGCCATGGATTTCTCTCCCTCTCCTGTATTCAGCAGATTGATTGATTGTTGTTATGTCTACAAGTGAAAAATGAGCAAGAATAGCCTCAGACAAGCAAAATAAAGCCAGTCTAACTGATCCTCTTTGATTCCTCTGCTTTACAGTAGCTGCTGTGGTCTTTAGTTGTTCTAACGTGTCTTTCTCCTCATGAAGGCTCAGTTTGACATTGCTGTTGCCAGTGAAATCATGGCAATCCTTGCCTTGACCACCAGCCTGGCTGACATGAAGACTCGACTCGGTAATATTGTGGTGGCCAATGACCGGAAAGGACAACCAGTTACTGCAGAAGATCTGGTGGGTACCAATGGGGTTGTCATTTATACGTAATATCTAGACATTTGATGATGGTCAAGGGAGGTGATATTGCCAGAATACAAAATTTAGCTTTGTAATTGTTATCAGAAAGAGGTCATTTCTGAAGGAACTGTTTCTGGATCTGGTGGAAGAAAGAAACGGGGACTTGTATTTACATAGCACCTTTTTGTAAACATGGGAAAACTCCAATCGCTTTACAGCTAATATTCTTGAGATGTAGTTATTCAGATGTCGGAAATGTGAGTCAGTTTGCCTAGCAAGCTCCAGTATACAGCAAAGCAACAATGAGCAGATCATTTGTTTGAGTAGTGTTATTTTAAGGGATAAATATTGGTCAGCACAGCAAGGAGCATTCTCCGTATCATCTTTAATATAGTGCCAAGGGATCTTTCACATCTGCCTCAACCAAGCAGAGGGTCTCCGTTTAACATTTCATCCAAAAGTTGGCACCTCTGATTGATAGTGTTGTACTCCTTTGGCATTTCCAGCCTAGATTAGCACTGCAGTCTGGAGTGATAGTTAAACCCCTATCTCTGACATTTTCTACAACTGAGCCAATCTGAAACTAAAAAAGTTGTCTTCTCTGAAATATTTTATATGTTAAATATATTTTCTTTAACAACTATTGCCTCTGAAATTGTAATGAACTTGCTGTTTTTGCTCCAAATAATGAAAAAGGTAAACGACTGTGATTCTTTAAATACAGAGCAGTTCCAGCCCAGCAGTATAGGTTTTTAGTGGCAACTTTTCGCGTTTACTTAAATTCAGTATTTTTCTCAATTTTAAAATAAAGTGAAACACCATTGGGAAATAATCACAGTGGCAATACTGAAGTCTGTCTAAAGATTTATACTTTCGGAATCTCATCTATTTTTATTTCTTTGTAGACTCCCAAAGCTTGGGGCTTTGTACCTCTGTTGAGAGATTGCTTGTTTACCCAAATGTTGGTGGGGGGAAGAAAAAGTCTATTATAGAATGCAACTTCTCTACCTCTAATTGCCTGAGCCGTTCAAGATTCCTGAATTCTGTTAACTCTGGCCTCTTGCACGTCCCTAATTTTTAACTATTCACTATTGGTGGTTCTGTGTCTGGCTGTCTCGGCCCTAAACTCTGGAATTCCCTTTTATCCCTCTCTGACTGTTCAGTTTCTAACGCAGTGCCTTAACGTTCCCTCAACCTTTTGTCAACTGTTCTATGTCTCGTTTGACTCAGTCTCCATTTCTGTCTGCCTGTTCAGGTGTGTTAAAAGATCCCATGGCACTATTTCATACAAACATAGATAATGGGGGCAGAGTAGGCCAATCAGCCCTTCAAACAATAGCTAACTCTCCCTTGAAAACATTCTATGTTTTGGTCTCAACTGCTTTCTTTGGCAAGAATTCCATCAGCTCACCACTCTCCTGGTGAAGAAATTTCTCATCATCTCAGTCCTAAATGGCCTATCCTGTATTGTTAAACTGTGACCCCCTAGTTCACAAAGGAAAGAATAGCAGACAGGACCGTAATGTCATCCCTTTAAAATAAATGTTGCCGCTGACAGTGTAGACCTTCCTGTGTATTGCACTGGACTGTATCTCTGCATTGAATACGGAAGTTTCTGGAGGTGGACTGGAACCTGTGGTCTACTGGCTCAGCAATGACTGGCTTTGCAGGGTTGTCTGTGGCTAGATGGGAGGATTCACCACAATTCAGGAGCCTGTTTCTATGGATATAGCAAGTCAATTATTTGTTTGCCCCTGGGCTTATGGAGTTCTGCATTGTTGTTCAGTCTTTTCCACTTAGGAAGAAGCAGAAAGCAGAAGAATCTAACTGCAGATTTTCATTTAGATAGGTTAAGCTAGGTAAATGGCAGTGCAAGAGTTGGTTGTGTTGGTGTGAGACTGGAATCCCCATAATGGCCTGACTGGATAAGGATGCAGATTTCATCATTCTTAAGGTGAACAAATAGAGTTTTTACATAATTCAGATAGTTTCATGGTAGTATTTCTGATAATTGACTCCATTTTCAGTTTTTTAATTTTGTAGACTGAATTCAAATTCTAAAACTGTAAATGCAGAATTTGAACCTGTTTGTTGCATAATTAGTCAATGTCTGAGAATGCCATGAAACACAACATTGTTAATATATCTGCTTATGCCTATTTGAATACTACACTTGTTTTTTTTTAATAAGTAATTTCTCTGCTCTTTCTGTGTAGGGCGTGAGTGGTGCACTAGCTGTTCTGATGAAAGATGCTCTCAAGCCAACCTTGATGCAAACTCTAGAGGTAAGAACACTTGGAACTCACAGACCTAATCCCAGGAGGGCCTCCCTGGTTAGTTAGGAAAAGAATCAATCTGCATTTAGATGATGTCTTTCTTGACCTCCAGCTTACCCTAGGGGCATAACTGGCCAATAACCAAATATGAAGTGATATCACTATTCTAATACAGGACTCGGCAGCCAGTTTGTGCACAGCATGGTCTTGCAAACAGAAATAAGATAATGATCAGATAATCTGGTTTATAGTTATGTTGGCTGAGGGATAAATTTTGGCCTGGACTCTGGGAGAAATATACTATTGTTCTTGACTAATGTCATTGGAACTTTTCTGTCCCCCTAAGAAAGGACAGGCAGCTTACCATCTTGCTTAAAAGGCGGTGCAGTACTGACCACTGCACTAATAATTTGAATCCAAGTTACATTGTGAATATCCAGGTGTAAGTTTGAATTTTGGCCTTCTGACTCCAAGCTAAGGCTTCTTAGTTTGAGCAATGGTTAACAGCTAATAAGATATATGTAGGTACATGGTTAGACCATTACTCCCCTTGAGACCACTCTGCTGCTTAGTCAGGCCATGGTCATTCTGTGCCTCAAGTCTACTTATTCATCTTTGTTCCATACACAACAAAAATCTGCCTTTAGTTAGAATTAGAATTAGATTTTATTGTCACATGTACTCTAGTATAGGAAGACATGAGTACTGTGAAAAGTGCACAGAGTTGCCATTCTCTGGCTCAATGTTGGTTACGAAACTAGAATTTTTGAAAAAAGCAGGGAAAAAGAAAAAGCCAAAAGGTAAGAAAACGTCCAAATCTTTAAGTCTAAGGTGTTATCTCCATAAAGAAGTTTGGGGTGCTCAGCCCTCCAGGCAGGCACCCAGGCCTATCCACGGCCTGGAGTCTAGGTCAGCCTGTGAGGATCTGGTGGACTGGCAAAAGGAAAGGGCTTTGAATGTACACCAATTGTAGATATTTAGCAAATGGATTTTAGCAGCTTCTATCTCTTACTGGATCCTGAAGCCTCCTATTTTGTCTCTGTCCTGTTCTGTTTTTTATTTTCACGCTTTGAGGCTGAGAATTTTTCATTATGGTACTTTCTCTAGTGAAAGGATGGCTCGTGTTTTCACAGATGGTGCTTGAGGGGCCTGTTAAGGGTTGCAGATGTAAAACAAGTTCCAAGGCAGTTCTTTTTGAAGTTGAAGTCATTTATTATTTTTATATGTGAAGTAATTATGTGGACCTATGCAAAAATAAATGTCATTTTAAAAGAATGTTACAAAAATTCAGTCTTTAGCCTTCAACGAAGGTGAATGAGAGTTTATGAACGAGCTAATTAGCATATAATTTCATGGGAGAAATTTTGTCTATTTGTACTCCAGTTTTCTTTTTCAACAAATGTGGATAGCAAAGGTGTAAAGGAGGTTCCTTCTTATCTTTGTGGCCTTCTGAAGACCTACCAAGGCCCATGACGTGTCCAAAATCTCTGCATTCCTCTAATTCGGTCCCTTGTCCAATTCAAATTTCCATACCTTTCAGTTGGTGAAGGTGCCTTCAACTGTCCCAACTCTCAAATCAAGGATTTTCTCCCTAAACAAATTCCTCTCTACACCCTTCTTTCAGACACTCCCTTGAAATGTACCTCTTTGACCGTTGCTTTGATCATCTATTGAGACATCTCCTCATGTGACTCATGTCAGATTACAGCCCCATGAAACTCCTTGGTACACTTTACTACGTTGAAGGTGCTTTATGAATTAGTTGTGGAAATCAATAAAACCCTGTCAGTGTGTAGGATGGAACACCCTACAGACTGGCCTAAAGCAGGTTAAAGCCATCGAAAGAAAGTTCACAATGTAGATTAGTGATCAGTCTGTGAATCCTTCCACAAATTCATTTTATTCTCCAAAGGAAGAGTGTGAAGATTTACAAACAAGCATCACTGGCAAATGTCAATTCAGCCAAATGCCTCCCACTTGTTTCCTCAACTGAATCAAATGCTGTGTTTGTACCATGGGTAAGAATCGGATTGAAATTTGATTTTCAAAGTATGTTTTCAGTTCGGATGCATGATGGGCGGACTGGACACAGCAACTCAGTTCCCATTGGTTTATTTTGTCCTCAGTCACAGATGGTGCAACAGTTTCAGTTATGTTTTTATGCTCATCCTAAGTCTACCACGTGACATAAATCCATCTTAGTTCCGATCCAGAATGACTTTTATACTTCTGTCCTGCTTATCAGTCATCCAGATAAAATCAACTTGATATTTAACTTACTGTCAGCTGCTGTATTTTGGTGAGAGGAATAAGGAGGCTGCCACTCCTCAAATAATTAAAACTCTAAATAGCATAGAAATGCAAAGGGTTCTAGGGATACAAATTCACCAATCATTAAAAGTAACAGTTTAAGTTAACACAACAATAAAAGTGCAAAACTGAACTCCAAGGTTCATTTCTACACCAATAGTAGCTATTGCTCATTTGATAGCATTCTCAGCTTAGTAAGACAATTGTGTGTTCTATAGGAGCCAGTGATACACTTCAATGGGGTAGTGTGCTGGATATCAAGCCTCGCTATTCCCAGAGTCATTACAAATGATTTTAAAAAGCTGCAGAATTCCCAAATTTATCTGACAAAGAATAGGCCATGTTTCTACATCTAACAAAGTTTACTCCTTATTAAAAGTAAATATACTCCAGCAGAAGTAAGCAACTATGAACTGTTGCCATATTACTCCACTCATTTAAACACTAAGCTCCCTTTTAAATACCAAGCCCCAACAATACAGTGCCAGATTACTTGTTTTCCGAAAAGTGCAGCAATCCCTCTATGATCCTTGTCTTTAAAGTAGTTATTTTCTTGTTTTAGTCCACAATCAAAAATAAAATATCAAGGTATGGTCCTTACACCAGCCGAATGTAAATTGTTATCAAATGTAATTAAAGAAGTTTCCTTTCAGGTTTGTTTGATATTTATAACAAACTGTACAACAATTTTGGATTCCACTCAAGTTGTAATTCTAATTGTCTATGACAAATCATGCATTTTGTATGGAATAACAAGGGCTGGTGTCAGTGTTCCCTCTAGTTTTTTTTATTGTGCTGGGCCTATTTATTGGGGTATGTGCTACATTCCAGATTGTTATGGGTTATACATCTTTAAAGAGAATATTGGTGGGATTTGTTGCCCCTAGTTTACTCTGCTTTAGAGTTCGAAAGAAAATTTGAAATCTTTTTCATTGTAGATGGTTGTTAATGGTGATACTGTATGTGACTCTTGATTTTTAACACCTGTCTCCTTTTTTCCTCTCACGCACCGGAAGGGAACCCCTGTATTTGTGCACGCTGGACCTTTTGCGAACATTGCACATGGTAGTTCTTCAGTTCTAGCTGACAAGTTGGCACTGAAGCTTGTTGGCAAGGAAGGGTTTGTAGGTAAGTGGATTAGTGTATCAGGATCCTTATGTTGCACTGAAGAGACAGTGATGGATTAGGTGAGTGGACAAAACTGGGAGATTAAAAGTTCATTATGGGAATGTTTGATGTTATCTACTTCAGACTCAAGAAAGATAGAGTCAGAATATTCTCTAAATGGTGAAAAGTTAACTGTGGCAGGCCAGAATAAGTTAGGTCTCCAACTACTTAAATCATTCAATCTTAGTGTAAGTAAATTTGCAAGATGCAAGTTCAAAAATGTTAATGAAGTAATGAAATGTTGACCTTTATCTCATGGTGGCTGTGCTACAAAGGAATAGAAGTTGTGTTATAGTTGTATCAAACTCAGAAGTCCATAATAGGGTCTAATCAGAGATTCCATCCACATCACAGAAGAAAGTATTGACTTTGCAGGGGGTTATCACAAATTCACCAGAATTGTGTCAGGACCGAAAGGCTTAAGTTATAAGGATGGATTGTGTAGATTAGGTTTGTATTTGCTCAAGTATAAAAGACTAAGGAGCAACTTTATTGATATTTAAGATAATCAAAGGGTTTGATTGTTTCTTTGCATCTATCTTATTCCCTGTGGAAGAAAATGCCAAAACTGGTGGCGTAACCTTAACGTTAGAACTAGGTTATTCAGGGTTGATATAAAGAAGCATTCCTTCACAGAACGGGTAATGGAAACCTGGAGCTCTTCTCCCAAAAAGCAAACAGCAATAGGTTAATTGAAAAAAGTAAAAACAGAATGTAATTTATTTTTTGTTCATGGTGTAATGCAGATCAAAGGCAGATTGCTGATCCTAAGAATAGGATTAGTCTTATCCTAATTAAATGTTGGACTGGACTGGACTGGAGGGACTTGATGGCCTACTTCTGCTCCTGAAACAACTCCTCAGAGGCTGGTATCCCATCACCAAGTCACCCTTTATTTACATATGAGCAGTTCTTAACTAAAACACTGCCTCGTAGAGAGTCAGGCACTAGAGTGTTAGTATGTCTGACACTTACCCTTCTCATAAACTAAACAAAAAACCAAAAGCATTGTGGATGCTGGAAATCAGAAACATAAACAGAACTGAAGTTTGGAAGAAGGGTCACTGGACCTGAAACGTAACTCTCCTTACTCTCCACAGATGCTGTGAGACCTGCTGAGCTTTTTCAGCAATTTCTGTTTTGTTTCACCCTGTTTATATGTCAGCCAGTGCTCTCTGATTGGACCAGATTAACAGCGCCAATCGGAGAACTCCTATTCTAGAGGTCCAGCTGGCTGAATGCATTACAATCACTGTAATTCCTATGAATGTATGTCTATAACAGGCGATGCGGGAAGATAATTCACTCAGATAATAGGAACTGCCGATGCTGGAGTCTGAGATAACAAGGTGTGGGGCTGGAGGAACACAGCAGGCCAGGCAGCATCAGAGGAGCAGGAAAGCTGACGTTTCGGGTCGCGACGCTTATTCAGAAATGGGGGAGGGGAAGGGGGCTCTGAAATAAATGGGGGGGAGCGCAGTGATAGCAGGTAGGTGGTGGAGCAGATAGGTGGGAAAGATGATGGACAGGTCAAAGAGGCGAGGATGAAGCTAGTAAAGGTGAGTGTAGGTGGGGATTGGTCAGTGAGGTGGGAGAGAAGACGGACAGGTCAAGGAGGCGGGGATGAGAGGGGGGTGCTGGTCTTGGGATGAGGTCGGGGTTGGGGAGATTTTGAAGCGAGTGAAGTCCACATTGAGACCATTTGGATTGCAGGCTTCCAAGGTGGAATATGAGGTGCTGTTCCTCCAGTTTCCGGGTGGCATCATTGTGACACTGGAGGAAGCCAGTGGACTTCACTAGCTTCAAAATCTCCCCACCCCCGACCTCATCCCAAGACCAGCAACCCCCCCCATCCCCGCCTCCTTGACCTGTCCATCTTCTCTCCCACCTATCCGCTCCTCCCACCTCACTGACCAACCCTCACCCCCACTTCCTACCTACACTCACCTTTACTAGCTTAATCCCCGCCTCCTTGACCTGTCCGTCTTCTCTCCCACCTATCTGCTCCACTATCCACCTGCTATCACTGACCCCCCCCCCCCGGCCCATTTATTTCAGAACCCCTTCCCCTCCCCAATTTCTGAAGAAGGGTCCCGAAACGGAAATGTCAGCTTTCCTGCTCCTCTGATACTGCCTGGCCTGCTGTGTTCCTCCAGCTCCACACCTTGTTATCTCTGTTGGAAGATAATTGTTAAAGGTCATCAACTGGCTTACAATAGAAGGGAAGTAAAAATGGGTATCATTGTTTTACATGAGGGTGATGTGTTGAGATATCTTGAAGAATTAAACATACAAGTTCAAAGTTTAAATATTTGGGGATTGTCGACAGTTTACCTTGAGTTGTTTTAAATTGGAAAAGGAAAAGCAGCACCAATTTCCACATGTACACCAATGCCATTCAGCTGTACCTCATTACTGCCTCTCTACACATACACTATCTCTGATTAAATCATCAGATGGTGCAATACAGGATGAGCAGAAATTTCCTCCAGCTAATGGTTTCAGTCTTCCCAATCTCTTTATGCCCCTTGACAATCTGTTCTCCC